AGTCCAGCAGGTTAAACAAAGGCAGCTAGACAACCCCAGACACAAATAGATCTTATTAGGTTGTCTCAGTTTGATATTGATTTCTCCTGAAGATGTGAAGACGTGAGATGAACCCTGATAAAAATGAAGCTTTAGAGCAACAATCTAGGCCATTCAGAAAACTGGGCAAGGCCAAGTCTCTTTGCTGGCTTATCACCTCTTGAAACTAAGTCCAGTTGTGTCCCCAGTCCCCTGTCAAAATGCAGATAAACAAACAAAGAAAGGCTTACACTGAGATGAGAGGGCATCTGATAAGAAAGCTAAACTGGAAAAAGCAACCTCTCCCAAAAGGTTTGGCATTTCTCGGTACCCTTGGCAAAAGGATGTAGTTGGACCCAATGATTCTGGGCACTACATCCAGAACACAATTTTAACTCAGGACAAAAAACAGAAAAAGTTCTTGGGCCACCAACACCTTTTTGAAGGCTCCCCTTGACAGAGCTGTCTTCACACTAAGGTTTCAAATGGATTAAGGCATCAGGGTGAGGAAAGAGAAGTATGTAAGAGGATAGAAAATGACCTGGCACTTACTTAATGAGCTCTACGGTTTCCGAGTACACGGAGTACGCAGACTTTGACGCCGGGTTCTCAGACTCTGTGGCGATTCCACACTCAATAAAGGACAAGACGGCTTCCAAGTACTTAAAGGCCTTTCCAACCTTGTCCGTCTGGAGGAGGAGAACATGGTCATTGTTCAACCCGAGACACGCTCTTCTTTAGTTTCTCACCCACATTATTTCTAGAACTTTCCTCTACTCTCTTTGTTTAATTATGACTAGAGATGAATGTGAGAATAAATGAACTAAAAACGGTAATCCAAGCCTGTTGGCTCTGACCTAGCGACAAATTTGTTTGAGCCAAAATTCAGTGAGAGAAAGAAAACCATCTGTAGTAAGCTTCGTCTCTCAAAACCTCACGGAAATACATATTCAAAAGGCAAAAAGCACATAGTCCCTTTATTATTTGCTTGTAATTACTTATTATATAACCTTCTTGAGAAGTAGGTCGTTCTACACATTGACAGGGACACAGCAACACAAGTCTCTTTGTATGTGTTGAAGCTTATCTTCTAAGCAGAAAGCATTTATTATGGCTTCTGAGAAGCTTAGATTTCCTAGCAACAATCATTTTATGCCTTTAAACCTAGTAGATTATTTCATCTCTCTGGCGTCTGGGCTTATGTATAAGGCTATCTATCCCCTGGGTCAACAGGGATACCATTTCAGAGTCCCTTAACGGGAATGTAGACATATGAATGAAATCAGATATTGGTGGTCACCCTAAACCTGAATACACCTTCTGCCCCTGAGTGCACCTCTTGCTGAAGGGCACACAGCCAGTTCAACCAGCGAGGCCGCGTGGCGAGCGTCTCACTTCTCTGCCCGTGGCAGGTGTGCCACAGGTCCAGAGAGCAATGGATGAACGCAGCACTCGCAAGTCTGCAGTTTCTCCTAACGCTTTCAGTTTTACATGTTCAAAAATAAGGAATGAGAACAGAAAGGATGGAAGGGGAAGAGAAGGAGATGGTGACAGCAGCGAAGGGAGGGTTCCGGGCTGCTACCGAACTTCTCTCTGGGCTTGCTGCTGCCGCACGCCCCCTCTATGAGCTCCTAACAAAATCACTTCAGCGCTATCGTTCTTCTCGTGTTTTACCATTAGTGGAAAAACTTGGACTGCTATACCCACACATACACACACACACACGTATGTATTTACTTGTATTACAGAATACTCCATTTTATTACTCTAAAATTTAGAATTTAAAAAAATAAGCCAATTTTAGAGCCAGCAGGTGGTATGGTGGTGGAGGCAGTGGACTCCCACATGGTTGACCATGATCTGAGTCCCAGACCCAGTGGCTCAAATCATGCCAGGCACGTGTGTGTGTGTGTGTGCACCCAAAATCTTGAAAGGAGAATGGAGGAGGAAGGACTGTGGCGTGCTCATCCCCACTGCATGCACGGGGTGTTGGTGGGGGCTGATTTCTCACTTTCTCTCTCTGTCTGACAAGCACATGTGCCCTATGGCGAAAAGGTAAAATAAATGAATGAATCTTATTAAAAAATGAACTTAAAGACGTATTCTCCAGAGAGCCCAGACTCAGAAGACTAGTGACAGAGTAAGAGTAAGAATCAAATTAGCATGTCCCAACGAATCTGTGGCTCAGGACATGACTGGTTTTCTTCCTTGATAGGAATCTAATTCTCCAATTTGCCCTTTTTTTTTTTTTTTTTGGAGAGGTTTTTTTGCTGTGGGGCATGTGCGCTCACCAGGAAGACAGAGAGAGACAGAGAGACTGAAAGCGAAAAATCACTCCCTAGGGGGAGTGGCCACACCGCAATCCCTTCCTCTCCATTCTCCTCTAGGGATCTTGGGCACACACACACATGCGCCTGGCATGAGTTTAAGCTACTGGGTCTGGGACTCAAACTGCGGTCGACTATATGGGAGTCCAGTGACATAGCCATTACACTAACTGCTGGTCCCTCAAATTTGCCTTTTAAACACCATCTCTTTCATGGAATTTCCAAAATCAATATTGGTCTAAGGGCCGACACAGAAGAAACTATAGTAGAGTGGGGCAACTTGACAATATCTACTTCCTGGAGATTAACATTGTGTAAAGCGAGCAGTGGTAACATTCCCTTGATAACCCTGTACATCTCCTGAAATGGTGTTAATGTTCTCATTTCCCTACGTAACGATGAATGCAAAGCAGAGACAAAATTTATTCTCCATACTCAGCTATGCACGTCTTAACTATCTGGGATACCAAATGCACATCTCTGAGACATGATGCATTTAAGGGAGAATATTATCGAGAAGGTGGCCATATAGGTTATTGTCCAAACTGGCATATTTGAGGAGTAAAATGAAGGGAGGGTTCCGGGCTGCTACCGAACTTCTCTCTGGGCTTGCTGCTGCCGCACGCCCCCTCTATGAGCTCCTAACAAAATCACTTCAGCGCTATCGTTCTTCTCGTGTTTTACCATTAGTGGAAAAACTTGGACTGCTATACCCACACATACACACACACACACGTATGTATTTACTTGTATTACAGAATACTCCATTTTATTACTCTAAAATTTAGAATTTAAAAAAATAAGCCAATTTTAGAGCCAGCAGGTGGTATGGTGGTGGAGGCAGTGGACTCCCACATGGTTGACCATGATCTGAGTCCCAGACCCAGTGGCTCAAATCATGCCAGGCACGTGTGTGTGTGTGTGTGCACCCAAAATCTTGAAAGGAGAATGGAGGAGGAAGGACTGTGGCGTGCTCATCCCCACTGCATGCACGGGGTGTTGGTGGGGGCTGATTTCTCACTTTCTCTCTCTGTCTGACAAGCACATGTGCCCTATGGCGAAAAGGTAAAATAAATGAATGAATCTTATTAAAAAATGAACTTAAAGACGTATTCTCCAGAGAGCCCAGACTCAGAAGACTAGTGACAGAGTAAGAGTAAGAATCAAATTAGCATGTCCCAACGAATCTGTGGCTCAGGACATGACTGGTTTTCTTCCTTGATAGGAATCTAATTCTCCAATTTGCCCTTTTTTTTTTTTTTTTGGAGAGGTTTTTTTGCTGTAGGGCATGTGCGCTCACCAGGAAGACAGAGAGAGACAGAGAGACTGAAAGCGAAAAATCACTCCCTAGGGGGAGTGGCCACACCGCAATCCCTTCCTCTCCATTCTCCTCTAGGGATCTTGGGCACACACACACATGCGCCTGGCATGAGTTTAAGCTACTGGGTCTGGGACTCAAACTGCGGTCGACTATATGGGAGTCCAGTGACATAGCCATTACACTAACTGCTGGTCCCTCAAATTTGCCTTTTAAACACCATCTCTTTCATGGAATTTCCAAAATCAATATTGGTCTAAGGGCCGACACAGAAGAAACTATAGTAGAGTGGGGCAACTTGACAATATCTACTTCCTGGAGATTAACATTGTGTAAAGCGAGCAGTGGTAACATTCCCTTGATAACCCTGTACATCTCCTGAAATGGTGTTAATGTTCTCATTTCCCTACGTAACGATGAATGCAAAGCAGAGACAAAATTTATTCTCCATACTCAGCTATGCACGTCTTAACTATCTGGGATACCAAATGCACATCTCTGAGACATGATGCATTTAAGGGAGAATATTATCGAGAAGGTGGCCATATAGGTTATTGTCCAAACTGGCATATTTGAGGAGTAAAATGAGATGTAATTATTTATTAAAATTGGGTGTAACAGATATAAACCAGGTCCTGGATGTGTGGTCACCTTAGATCAGGAGAAAGAAGATATCTGTATACACAGGTTAAAAATAAACAAACAAAAAGAGTCCCTGGCCCAGCCACAGTGGCACAGGTGGCAGAGTGGTATTAGAGGCATTTGAGAGAGCCAGGTTCGGGTCCTGAGTTGACCTGAACACACCTGAACATCCTGACTGGCGAGGGACGTTCAGTATGTGAGGCCCTGTCAAGAGTCTCTCTCTTTTTCCCTTCCTCTCTCTCTCTCTGAATAAATGTTTAAAAACCCAGTCAAAAACCCTATTCCCTGGGGTATCAATCTTACTTACTTGAATAATGAGGGTATGTAGGGCTAAAAGTGTCTAATGTCCAGGTAAGCTTTAGGAATCTGGCTGACAAGGCTAAATACCTACTCTTTTCCACAACTCAAGATTCACATATCGGGTTGTCGGAAGAAAGTTGTGACTCATTTTTTCTATGCAAAAATGCGCCGTGACTTTTCCGACAAGCCAATAGTTCCAGCAACCATCTTGGCAAGTTAGAAGGAAGCTGCTGACAGAACACCAGTACCTGGCACAGTCTTAGATTCCTGACCTGACTCGGGTCTTCCTGGTACAGGGGAGCCTGGAAGGACGGGTCTCTGACTCCCTTACAGCACCCAGCACAGTGAAGAGTCCAACATTTGGCCTGGAACAGGGCTCCGATCCAAAGCGTCTCCTCCCCTCACCTGTCTTAGAACAGACAGGCACCTAGAGACTGTGGCCAAAGATCACCAGGTCAAGATCCTCATGACCACCATGGAGCCATCTGATTCAGGTCCATGTGGGACTGTGGAACGTGTGGTTGGGTTTGCACGTGGGAGAAGGCAAGACATGCTTTTTCACAGGACCAAGTTCAACACAGGGCTTTCTGGGGTGGCCTGGGCATTTTCAGGATGTTGGGGATATGCTAGGTAAATCAAAGACCCAGCATCTTAGATGTTTAAATATGACGAGGTGCAAACACGGTCCTTTTCTACCGCAACAGAGAGCACACAGAACCGAGTGTACATAATTAACACACACACTACCACCTTCCAAAAAGTCCAAAGGCCACCAGGTGAAGAGAGTTGGCGTCTCTAAAGCCTGTTCACCAGCAGTACAGCCACTGCATTCACCTTGCAATCTTATCTAGTGATCCTGGTACACTCTCCCCTCAGGTCAGGTCTCCCAAGGGCTTAAAGATCATTTGGGAATGCAAACAGGCTTCCTTGCCTTGTGAAACGTTGCAGGGTGAACAGAAATGGACTGACTTTCAATAGCAGGACTCATTGTTCGCATCCAAAGACATGATTCAATGGGACAAAAAAAAAAAAAAAAAAAAAGCACTCAAAAATTAAACCACCGTCTGCTGGAAAAGTAAGTATTTAACTAAGTAAGTAAGTAAATAAAAGGAAGCCAGGAGTACCATTTTAAATTAGCATGATTTATTGGAAAGGGTACAAAGTCTATAGTTATAAAAGTACAGAGAGGGGACGTCAGGAGACATGACATAGTACTATATAGTCAA